ACTGAAGCAGGCACTAGCTTTGAAATTATCGGTAGTATATCATGTTCAGCTCTTCATCTTTAAAGAGCATTCTTTTCAGACTTTTTTCCCAATATATTTAGAGATTTTCTTCTTCTTCACAAGGTCTCCCGGGACATAAAATTGCCTTAAACGTCGAAGCAAAAAATCGCTAGCTTTGGGATTGATATCATGTTAAGGTCTTATTCTTCCAGACTTTTTTCCAAAATATTCAAAGATTTTCCTGATTCTTCAACAGGTCTCCCACTTCAAATAATTCCTCTAAACATGAAAGAAAAAACCACTAGCTTTGGAATCGGTAGAATATCATGTTCAGCTCTTCATCTTTAGAGAGCATTCTTCCAGACATTTTCTCCAAAATATTCAATGATTTTTCGTCTCCTTCGAAAGGTCTCCCGGGTCATAAAATTGCCCTTAACATCCAAGAATGAAGGCATGTTGCCAATTTGACGCTCCCAAGACTCGGTTACCGCTGTAATGGTTCGTTTAAAACTAAAATGCATGAAAAAGTAGTAGATGTCTAGGCATGATAAACACACTCAAAGCCCAAGGCAAGCCTACTCCTGTAACATTCATGATATCCTCGGAGTCAACCGGGAGAATTCTGAGACAAACATGTATAGGTTACAGCCACATTCGGTGTTAAATTTGACAGTTACACGCAAATAACACACAAAGGTAACCTACAAAAAGTGAACTTTTGTTTCCTTTCTAGCCCTTCAAGGATAGGAGAGGGAGAACTTGCTTTTTTCATGTAGAATGATATACATTTTAGAGGAACAGTTGTTTTTTATGATAGCTTCACATATTCCAATCCATGAACAGAATGTTAATGTCATTGCCTCATTGGAAACATTGATTCAGTTGATGCATTTTCAGAGATTTAATATCAATAATGAAAGAAATCTGGTAAATTCATTTTCTTTAGCTGACATAGGGTCATTCCCCCAAAAGCATGATGATCCAGGATTCCAGGGAGTGAGATTAATGTCCGAGATATATTAACAAAAAGATATGATATTCCAAACAGTAATAGACTCAGAAAATAGATATACCACAGGCTCGGGACTCAGGTACAGGATTATTAATAAATACTTCATATATGAAATAATTCTAGACTTGAAATCCTGGCCCAATTTTGAAGATAAATTTCCTGCAGTGACTTGACTTTTCATGTATTCACAAGTTTGTCATTGTTTCCATCTTTCCTCTCTCTCTCTCTCTCTCTCTCTCTCTCTCTCTCTCTCTCTCTCTCTCACAATAATAATAATACTTAAGGTCATAGAGATTCAGGAAATGGGAGATTCACAAGTTTGTCATTGTTTCCATCTTTCCTCCTCCCCCCACTCTCTCTCTCTATCTCTCCCTCTCTCTCTCTCTCTCTCATAATAATAATACTTAAGGTCATAGAGATTCAGGAAATGGGAGATTCACAAGTTTGTCATTGTTTCCATCTTTCCTCCCCCCCCCCCCCCCTCTTCCCCCCCTCTCTCTCTCTCTCTCTCTCTCTCTCTCTCTCTCTCTCTTTCACTCTCTCTCATAATAATAATAATATAATAATAATAATTAAGGTCATAAAGATTCAGGAAATGGGCAATACATCAACAATGTCTGCGCAGGAAGGTAACATCAGATTCCCATCCTCAAATGCTACAGGATTGTCCATGAATGACGTCATGGATCGATTCAACCTCCCTTGGATATTGTCTGCTGATTGGCATGAGGGCATTAAACGATATCATTCTGGTTCTCAGCAGAACATACTAGGCCTGTCCTCATCAGCTTGAGATTGCCAAATAGCCCGCTATTTCTGATTTGGGAAATAATCCCTAAGTTACAAATTGCATCTTCATCAGCTAGAGACTCGAGCTCAAGAAATTTTGCTCAGCGTTCACGCATAGTGCAAGTCTTTGGGCTGGGGCTGGTGAAGACGCACCGGAAAAATACCAGAATATTTTGCAAACTAGCCCAAGATATCTTGGGATTAATTATCTTTACCAAATATCCCGCTAATTGCAACTGTGGGCTGATGAAGACGCAAATTAGCTGGATAATTTGTGATCGGGATAGTTAAAATAGCGGGTTATTTGGAAATCTCGAGCTGATGAAAACAGGCCTATTGATGAAGTATATGGAAACTTGTTTCCTATGGCTTTAGACTAGTCATCTAATGTCCTCAATTTTATGGATGTCGCTTCCCGGAACCTTGGATAACAACCTATCAAATTTAGCAAAGAGTGATGAGTCTGCATAGCATATCTATGGATGGATTAAACACCTTGAAAACAAGAAATGTTGATATGTTGGGTAATGAATTGAATCTCGTAGAAACATTTGACTCTGATGCATAGGTGAATCATCTATCAAGTAATCCATTTGACTGACTAGGTGCATCTCATCCTTGGTTTATCCCAATTGAAAGCATCCTTGAGTTGAAGTTAAAAGTTGTGACTGTTTTTCTCTTGATAAATCACAAATTTACTCATAAATTGGAACGATAGATCAGAAAGCCAAGTTATATTACCAAGGTGAATGTGGCGCTACGTCAGAGGCAAAAACTGGAGCAATATGTATGACAAAACTTTAACTTTGTTTTGAGATATCTTTGTTTAAATTACCAATCAAGAATCATATCATAAGCAAGAAATGGAAAGAGTTTGTCATAATGTAAGAGGGCATGTGTGATTTGACCCCCCCCCCCCCCCAGAAGAAAAAAAAATGTAAATAAATAATTTTTAAAAAAATTACAATATACATCTGTTCATGCTGTTGAGAGACAAAAAGGATGTGAACTCTGTGAAAAGAACTAAACGTGTATGATTAGTCTTCTAGCTCTCAACAGGCAATAATCTATCTCTACTATTTTCTAGCACCTTTCACATATATGAATAACTTTGGATATGCCTGCTACGATTATTGTAACAATTTTGAAGAGTCAGCGTCGTCTGCCAAACCTTTAAGACCCTTTTGTGTATTCCAATGTCAGCCACTAATCTCATTATCAAATCTTCCATGTCTATCGCAGCTACGGTTTATGCAGATGAACGTGCACTTTGTGAAGGAGACAGGAAAAGAGGAGACAAAACTGGGAGGGGTAAGGATGATCAATGAAACAGAGGAAGGGGAAGATTTCCTCTGTCTGGTCGACGGCAATGAGGAGAGATTCTTTTCTAAGCAAACTTGGTAACAGGAACTGGGAGGTTTTTGCACCATTACCATTTTTTCTGGTTTGGATGTTATATCAATCTCTTAAGACAATGTTTTTTAATAACTTCTGCATATTGAATGAAAATGAATTAGAGTGGTCTGAAGAAAAAAATCACCAATGAACAGGTTACAAAATGACTCTGTCAAATTTGTTCTTCAGATCTTCTTACCATTAACCTGTTACAGAGCTATAGACAATGGAATTCCTACTGTGAGAACATGCAACTTTGCAAAGACCTATTCTATATGTCATGCTGGAATCGGTTATTGAATTTCATGTTTATTCATTCATTTTCATTCATGAATAGCTGTATTTCTAATATGCTGACAAGGCATGCAATTTGCACCCCCCCCCCACCCACACAAAAAATAGATGATAACTAAGAATTGTCCATTTCAAAGGCGATGCATGAAACATCTTTTTTATGATTTGGGGGTAAAGGAGAAAAGGGGAAAGGGTATCAGCCAGCAGGAAGGGTGATTCATTATTTTTTTTCACCCTCAAAATCTGGATAAAATCAGGAGAATAAATCTCGAGCATGGGACTTTGGACGGATCGAAGGACAGAATTTCTAAGGCTTCGTTTGAGGGAACTGTCAATGAGCATTTCAGTAGTACCAGGAGAGGGTGATTATGACAGAATGACTTAGGAGCTGATAGACAGAACGTCTGTGCTTGCTCGGTGATTGAAGGGGCAGGGAAAGACGAGAGGGTTTGAAATGTATTGGAATGGTCAATATGATAATTGATTTCAAATGTCTGTACTTTCTAGGCTTTACCTTCATCATCGCAAATCTGCAGAAAGGTTAACCGAGGATCAATGACAGTGTCATTCTGGGATTCCTTGAAGATGGCATCTATTTCCTGGATCCTTGTCTCTGGTGTTTCATACGATTCACCCAAAGGCCATGCACTGATCAGTTATGCCACGCCAATACATCAAAAGTCATATGCACTATCTGTCAAAGGGTCAGTAAAGTTCTTTGGTTCAAATCGGACAGAACTAGATAAATTGTTTTAAAAAATGTACATACAGTTAGAACAAGTTGCTCCAAAGTAGAGCGTATCTCCTCAAAGGCAGAAACACAAGAGATGAGGAAGATCATAAAAAATGAAGAGAAAAAATGAGTACCGGTACATCAACCTGTTGACTACTGAACTCCATCACATACAATGACCATCTGGTTCCCGTAAAGATGACAACTGTCTAGAAGGCATCAGAACATAGAAAGATATGGATAGGTACCTTCCAGAAGATCCTCCTTTAGTATTGGGAATCATTGACCCTAATATCATATCAGTGATTTTAAATTTCCTTTGAGCTTTATTTTGCCAGAGATGAAGGGATAGTTTTAGGGTTCCATTTAGGATTTACAATAGCTTTAGTACATATACATTGCTGAAGTATATAAGCATAAACATTTGATTGCTGCACACTTGTTGTCGAAATACACTTTATGCAATCGAAGAAAGCAAATTTGGTGAAAGACCACGAAAGTCGATGGAAGACGACATTGGTGGCTATTCATTGAATATCACTGAAATTTTAAAGTGGGGTAGAATGACAGAGGATTGTATAGAAACATAATTCAGATATAGAATCGGTAGTTTTAGGTCAATTTCTAGCCCTAAATAACATAGATTAGAGATAGCTACAGTATATAAATTCATACCACAAATACATTATGTACTATTTAAAGTAAATTGTGTAGGCTTTGGTACTTACCACATAGTATTCCTAGATGTAAGTATTCCGAGATGTCAGTATGTCCCCTAGTAGCTTAAAAGTCCAAGTCGAATGCACTGTAATGAGACAATGAGAAGAAGAATATAAGAAATAAAGTCAATGTTGCAAAGGCATTTCCATCTTATCCTGGGTAGAGAGATTCACATCAGTTGACCTGCTTACAAGAATCACAACACTATTCACTACTTCAAGGATAACAACATATTCAAAACCCAGTGTCAAAAATGCTTTTTGGTGTTCTCTGCATAACACATTTAAACATGAAAAGAATAACGCTCCTGTTCACTGTAATTATTCTGTTTGACTGAGAGAAAAAAACATACATCATGAAACATAGATTTCACTTTCAAAATTCTAAAGCACCAGCAAATTGATATCAAAATCCTTCTCTGCCAGACCTACATTATTTTGACAACTTCAAAACACAGTATCGTCCCTTTTTTCACGAAGTGACGGTAGTGAGGAAAATCGTAACGCAAAGTGAATGCAATTTTTTTCTCACTACCGTCACTTCGTGAAAACAGCGACGGTATGTACAAGTAGTCTACACAATCAATCAGTCATGCTTATTAACTTGTCAAGTGTGTCTAGCCTAACCACTGATGCATTCCAAAACATGCCAGTCAAACATTCTTTTACATATCTGCAGTAAAACTTTTCATCTTCTCGCTTACTAATCCACCTAAGGGCAAATTAATCCATTAATTTCTCACATTTTGAAATCATTCGGCACCAATGGATTCAGAGAATAACAATCAAATGTAAACATGTCTCAAGTTTGAAATAATTTCAAAACAAGCCAGCTCCACATTCTTCTAGAAACTTGGACTGCTGGTAAATGGCAGACATAGAAAACACCAGTAATGTTCATCTACCTCCAACATCACCTTTTATACTATTTGTTAAAAAGCTAGTTAAAATACTGATTGGAAGCAATAATACATATGGACTGCAACGGTTGTATGCAATTCCTTTCTCTAGTACTCTAGTTGCAATATCTATGTTACTAGGGTTATCCATACTGCGTTTTGAATAGAATGCTGATTTTGTGGAAAGCCAGAAATCAAGCAACATGAAACTTTTAAAAATAGTGAAGAATTGATCTGCACTGCAAGAAACTTTCCCAAATTGCAAAAACTTGTAGTAATGTTGATTATGACCCAAGCAATTATGTGCTGAGCAACTTTTGCAAATCTAAACCACTTGCGAAATTCACACACATTTCATAAATACTGGTTTTACAGTTATAACGTTATAATCTAATACTGAAACTGTATAATTATATAAAATGTTTCCATACTAAACATTGATCCTTTTTTTAAACTTTCAGGAATTTTTGAAATAATCTTTGCTAAACCAATTAAACTACGTTCATGGCCATGTGGAAATGATATATATATATATATATATATATATATATATATATATATATATATATATATATATACATGTAGAACTGTTAACGTACCCCATACAAGGTAAAACCTTGGCACTGCATGGATTTCAATTCAAAAGTACACTGCATGTCGTACTTCATGTTTCTAAAGGTCACCCCAACTATTCACCATGAGAGAGAGAGAGCACTTTAAATCCTTACAACAGCTACTGAGCACAAGGAGACAGCATAATCTTCGGCAGAGACAGGCCGGGCGTTACAGAGCAAGTAGCATTTCTGGATGCGATTTGCTTTGCGGCTAATCCAGGATGTAATTAATAAACAAGATTTCAAATGGGATCCCCCGCTTGCGACACCCCAAATCCATCCTCCCTCGCAAGCTACCACGTTCTGACATTGAAGCAAGATGATCCGAGATGGGTGGAGATACGGGATCAAGAGAGAAACCCAGAAAAAAATGTTGAGGATTGAGCTGAATGTGAGAGCAAGAAATTGGGCTTTGTGCATGTAGAGCCGGACTCACTAACAGAAAAAATTCAAAAGAAACTTTCAATTTGCTGTGATATTCCTAACAGCCAATATAATGATGACCAGTGGGATATGAATAATGCATAAATACTAAAAACAAAATAATAAGCCCCCCCCCCCCTGGAGTAACAATGATCTTTAATTGCTTTCAGAGTAAATTACAGGAGTGACAATACAGGAGTAACAATCTGTTATTGTATAATGCTTCTAGAAAACAAAGGGAAGTAATGAGAAAGCACAACAAAAACCAGACTAGCATTATAGTCATAACATGATCATGGGGAAAAGATATAAGAACAAAGTATCAATAAAGCAAAAAATATAGTATTGTTAGAATTTGACCCTACTGCTTCATAAATTGTCTTCATTGTTTCCAGTGGCACCTATGAGCTACTCATAGTATCCAGTGGACAGACAGTGGACTGAAACAAAGAGGGAGAACCATATGCCTGCAGAATAAAGACATGGATTAATCAAAGACTTAAATTTAAGCTATATGTCTAAAAGTTAAAAACCAGGATCAAGAAATCGGCAGAAAGGAGTATGTCAGTCTCTGACAGGGTAATCTTCCATCATTCCCAAGATGCGATGAGTGTACAATGGCCAACCCACACTAGATTATGATGAGCCACCTATCCCTCTTGAGGATGTCATCTGTGGGGAGCCAGAAGGGCCTTTTAACTCTGTGTAAAGTATATGAGTAGATGACCTTCTGGCTCTAGGCAGGAGATATGAACTTTGGAGCGGCATCCTTCTTTACCATCAAGTTCACAAGTCATTAGCTTGACCTTGAAACATAAAACATTGCCTTGTCAAACACAGAATCTATGGTCTGCCCTTTTACATCTTAGTAATGGATCTCTCTAGTCCTAGAGTTTGGGTGTAGGTCATTGATACCTACAGTGGTTAAATAGGTTAAAAACTTTAAATCTAAAACAGCAATAAGGAATATATCGTCCATTTGGAGCCAGAAGGGCAAAAACTCTTGTATTTCAATGCCCTTATGGATCGAAACAGGCATATTGTTGGTCCTATACTGTAACTCTGTCTCTCTCCGAGTCTAATTGTAGAAGGATAGAGTAGTGTCCGAACCCCAAACTTCACCACAGTCACCAGTGACAATACCACAGATCCTTCCGCGAGGCACACACACTCACACTCCAGTCACAGGCATCGGTCACAGCTGATGACCACCAATCCTATCTTCTATCTAAAGCTAACCCCCAAAAAGGACACTAGGAACTCTCCATAAGTTAGTTTGAACCCTAAACACCACCACAGAGTCACCCTACCACTAAACCACATATCCTTCAAACCAGCATACTCACTATACTCCAATCACCCTCTATCATCATCAAGCCTATCTCGGCATTCCCGCTGACACTAGAGGACACAGGGAATTCCCATATGTCAGTTTGAACCCTATAGTTCCAATCACAGAGTTACCCTACCACTAGACCACATACCCTCAAACCAGCATACTCACTACTCCAATCACCCTCTATCACCTTCAACCCTATCTCGGCTCTCCCGCTGACACAAGAGGACACGGGGAATTCCCGTAGGTTTCCCACGGATCCATCCCAATTTCCCTGATCTCGTCAAAGACTACGGAGTTAACGGTGGCATCTCGGCACCCGCTGAGATGCAACGATTACTGTCCCATACCCTCAGATCACATAACCACAGTATAGAGAGCCCACGGTGCAACCTCATGGTCTCACAGAACACTCACTTACTTCTCTCCCTGGTTGTTGCAAGGTGCAATCAGGCATAAATAAAGAACAGTTTCAACCTAAATTCTTCTTTTTTAACCCGATAAATTTCAGACAACTGTAGGATATCTTTGTAAAAAAAATGTAAAACAAAATGTATCATACTTTCAAAAAATGTCCCCATACTCTTCAAAGACACTGTACTTTTTGAAATATGAAAGCAATCAAACCATCTTTGATAATTAATTAATACCTCTTGATAGTTTCCTCTCAAATAATTTCTTTTCTACTATCTGTTTCTGTGTCATTCCTGATCAAGTCACATCTATCCCTAGTGTGTTTGATCAGATTAAAACATTGAGGATATGTACTGCAGATTTTTGCTCCTTGGAGTGAGTGCCTTCTGATTGATAAAGGGCTGATATCAATTAGAATTCAGGTTTACACTTAGATTTCTCAATTATGATTGATGATTTGAGAAAGCTCACAGATTAATTGCCTCAAGGGTCTAAGATTCTTGAGGAAAAGGGCAATATACATCAGTTATCATTTTGAATTTTAAAGGTCAAATATGTTCAAATACAAGGATCTTTATCAATTATCATGAAGTGACCTAAATATCATGTTCAAACCATGTGCTATTTCCCTACCTCTTATGGAAATACTTCAAACTTTTAATGAATTTGGTTATGTCTGATTGAGACTTGATGAAAGTGCTGTTAAAATGACTGTAAAAGCCTAAATAAAGTAATCAAAGTTCTTCAAATAATAACATACATTATGACCTTGAACTCTGATTAAGAAAGAGACAGAGATCAGAGTTAAACTAGATGGAATTTTGACTGCGCGCAGTCGAAAATGATGCCTCCGCCATAGAGCAATTTAAACAAGTTTGGAGTTTAAATCTCCAGTGGTTCTTGAGATATCATGATAACAATCTCAATGTATGGAATTTCATAAGTTGACCTCTGTGACCCTTGACCTTTGACCTACGTGCTCCAAAATCTAATCAGATTGTCTTCCTATGGTGATACACACTATCATTAAGTTTGAAGTTTAAATCTCCAGTGGTTCGTTGGTGATACATACTATCATTAAGTTTGAAGTGAAAATTCTCCAGTGGTTCTTGAGATATCGCGATAACGATCTCAATGTATGGAATTTCATAAGTTGACCTCTGTGACCCTTGACCTTTGACCTACGTGCTCCAAAATCTAATCAGATTGTCTTCCTATGCTGATACACACTATCATTAAGTTTGAAGTTTAAATCTCCAGTAGTTCTTGAGATATTATGATAACAATCTCAATGTATGGAATTTCATAAGTTGACCTCTGTGACCCTTGACCTTTGACCTACGTGCTCCAAAATCTAATCAGATCGTCTTCCTATGGTGATACATACTATCCTTAAGTTT